TTAATTGTGCAAATTAACGTTCGTTTTGAGTTGGTAATAATTGTGTTTGAAAGTTAAAATGTTCCAGTAAGGAAAATGTATCTATTTTGAGCTTGTTGCTTTACTAGCTGTGAAGATTAAACAATCTATATTCTAAGAAAACTTAAAGCCATATAATTTCTGTGAGAGGCAGCCTTTTTTGTTGTTGTTTTATTCATTTCCTTTTATCACTGTTGTAATGGTGCATACAGGTCCTGTGCAGAGATCAGAATTCCATTGCACTAGGTATCCTATGGGTGCTTATAACAAAAAATAGTGCTTATTCTATTTTTGGATGTAATTTGTGTAATCCAAATTGTTTTCTCGAACTCTGAAATTCTTTTCCTCTGAAGAACTGGGTATGCTTCTTAGTTTGTTTTCAAAGAATATATTCCTCTATTCTCTTGTTTCTGCTAGTCTACATCTTTCTTTTTCAGCTCTGATTAGCTGTAAAAGATCAGTGTTGTATCTGTTCTGTTAAAGGGGGAACAACATGGTGTCAGCTGTCAGTTCTGGAATGAGAGAGGGATTTTCTTCATTCCTGATTCACTGGGCTTTCTGTGAAGCCTTTGGGATATCTGTTTGCATAACAGTCATGCTATTTTTTCATTAGGCAGAGGAGAAAAACTCAGTGGTGACAGGATGATTTGGCAGAAACTTAGTGGATAGGTTTTATAGGACTCTTTTCTCATAGGGAGCTAAGTCCTGTGCTGTTTGTCACAGACACAAATAGGAAGGAGGTTAGGTGATAAATTGCTGCTAATACACATTTGTTTTCCCAAGTGGTAAGCAAGTGATCCAACTGAAGCATTGCAGAAGAATCTCATGTTATTTGAGTGAACTGGACAAAAAACCTGCTCTTTGATGTTAACAAATGCAGAGTAACACAGGGGAGTGAACACAAGTAAGATATCCACTGTTTTGTACACTGACACCTCATTCACAACTTGTGAGACTTTGAATAAGAGAATTCAGTGGTTAATTCAATGATCCTAAAAGTGAGCAAAATGCTAGAAATAAAACATAAATAAAGGAGAGTTTATGAAAGAAAAATGCTGATTTCAAAATTAGTTTTGTTCCATTCTTGAGCATTTTCAAGCCACCCCTTACCACAGCACATGAAGAAGGGTAGAGTAGAACTAGTCAAGAGTTAAACAAGGACAACAAGGAATGAAGGACAATCAGGAAAATATGAAATGTTGCTGCAGGTTTTTGTAAGTGTTAAAAGACCGAACATTTCAAATAGTTCAGGAACAAATCAATGGAGGGAAAAAAAATGCTGTTTAACTGAAGTGCTCATATATCCTGTGACTTAAGCTCTCCACCCTCAGGTTTCTGGACGACTATGCTGTTTGTGTTGTTAGTGTTTGTTTGCCCTATTTTATACACTTCCTAGGTAATTGCTTCTTGCTTGTGTCAGCCAGGGCACTTGCACTAGAGGGATGTTTGATCTGTCCCTATGAAGTCATTCTCGTGGCAGTAGATTCTAAAAGAAAAGCTCACTAATTTTCCCTTATTTCCAAGTGTCTCTGCATGTGTGTGTCTTGAAGTCTGAGAACTCAATCAAAGTGGTTTTATTTCCCTGTTAGCCCTGAGCTGTGCTTTAGTTAACAGCTTCTTTTTCAGTACCTGTGGCCACTATGCTCCAAATATAGAAACAAAACTCGCTGCTTTTGCAGAGATTTTAATAATATGCTTAGCTTTATTTTTACTGTTTCAATGTTTGTGTTACATATTAGTCCAATAAGTGCTACACTAAAGGCTGTGCATCTTTGTTCAGCTCTGTGCCTTTATTCTCTTGTACAGTGTTTTTTTATAGTAGATGAATACAAAGATATTTTCATGGGTTCTTTTCTCCCTCGCCTCCTCCTTTCAGTGCCTTTGAAAGAAATTGCATAAGCATCTGCAGTTGCCACGCTGGTCCTGTAGTCTACGGTTATTCTCTTTTAGTATTAGCTACTCTCTTTGGACAGCAAAAAAAAATCTTCACTCCTCTTTATTCCTTTCAGCAGCTCACCACTGCAGTTGAAGATTAACAGCTCTGTTCTTCTAGTCCAAGTATGCACGAGTACTCATGCTAAATATCTGTATGGGCTCCTTGTCGATGTCGAGTACCAGTTCCTGCTGTACACACCTATCATTTGACAGTTGGCTTGTTGAGGCAGATAGGCACATCTTTATTTGGACTTTTAAATGTTTAAATAGGTCATTGCAAGAGACTTGAACCAAAAATGAACAAAAAGCAGTGTAGCTGCTTACTGGGCACAGCCGAACTGGCTGACAGAGTATCATCTTAGTTCATTTGGCATCAGCAATTGCAAAGGAAATTAAGTTGTTCTGCTTTCCTCAGTAAAACATGTTCTAATGATTCTTTAGGCAACAAAACAACACTGACTGTAAGAACAAACAAGCCAGGATTCTTGCAGGTAACATCAGTTTTGCTTGGGAGAGCTGACCCTTTTATGAGGATTGCTCTAGCACATAGTATAGCAGCTGCAGTTCTTAAAGTAGGACAAAATGGATCAATTTGTACAATGACAGTTCAATTAAAAAATGTCTGGGGGAAGGGAATGGGCTGAAGTGCAGGTAAAATTAGGAGAGGAAAGGTGTTAGATTGTGCACAGCAGTTGTATTGCTCCAGGTAATGCCATGCTCTGTGTGCTGCCATCTCTCCACACTGCTTAGTTTTATGGGATAAACTGAATTCAGTGTAACACAGTCATCAGTATTCAGTCACATCCCTGCCTTTCCAGGAAGTTCTGATTTTCAAAAGTCCTAAGTAGAAGCCTCAACAGTTGTGCAGGGCATATATGTTGTTCCAGGAGCAGCATAGAACTTATGAAACTGTTTCCTATGGTCTTGTACCCTTTCCCACATCTGGCTCCCCATAGTCCAGCTTACCATCAGTCCACTGGAGCACCCTTATCAGGTAGCCACTGCACATGCTGTGGCTGCTTTGGAGCACTACATGTCCACACTGGCAGGCCAACCC